AGTAACCTTGATTCACAATGCTAATATATAAAAAGCCATGCAAGTCAACTGATATTAAAAATATCCCCCAAAATTTTTAAATTAAAAAGAAACACAGGATAGTGGGAATACCTATGAACTATTAATTAAGCTTGAGTCCTGGTTCTTTCAGGCTATAAGACTTTGGACAAGTTTTTAACCACTTCATCTCACTATAAAGGGATGACTCAACAGTTAACAAGGAACCCTAGGTGTAGCTTGATAAGAGATTAAAATTTTATTGCTATTTAACACAAACACTTATAAAATAAAGAATAAAGAATGTCAATAAGTGCCTCTCTGGTGGTGCAAGGGGTTAAGATGCAACCTATGAAGCTAGCTGTAGCCTCTGCAGCACGAGTTCGATCCCCCAGCAGAGAGCTACCCACATGGCGCAGCTGACCGCTCCTGACTTACCTGCTGCTCCCCTCAGCAGTGTATTTCAGTCAATCTGCCTGTCCTGTTCTCCACTCTGTCTCTGGAGATTCCTCTCACCCCCCACACCTCTGGCCTGTACTCCAGTGCTTGTATGCATAAATAAATAAATCTTTTTTAAAAAAACAAAACAAAACAAGAATGTCAATAAAATGAACACTTGTACCTAACATCAATCCTGAGAAAAAAAATTACAAGGATATTAAAGTCCTTATGTATCCCTCCTCTTCCCCATCTTACTCTACACAATTGTCCCTACCCGTAAGAAACTACAATACTGAATCTTGCTTGTATTTACTATTCTTATGTTTTATCTTGATGTTTTACCATGTATTTATACTTGAAAATACTTGCAACAGCTGTGTTTACTTCTGAATTATATAAAAGGAATCATCACGTAGGAATTTTTTTGTGACTTTTGAAATCACAAGATAATATATTTGATGTGTGTGGTTGTAATCCATAGATTTTCCACTGTGCCAATTTCCATTCTATTCCATTCCATTCTGTTCTATTCCAGTTGCCCATTTGAATGAATAAAATGCAATTTATCCATTCTCCCATCAATGAACCTTTTATTCCCAGACTTGTTCACAGAAACATTGCTACTATTGATCACTGTTGTATAAGTCTCTAGGAGCTCATGTCTAACAGTTTCTCTAGGATATGTACTTAGACATGGAAATGCTGAGACAAAGTATGACTCTGAGGATTGATTTTTCCCCCTTAGCTTAGAAAATTCTTAATATTGGTAGTAATATTATTTTTCCTGAAATATAATTAACACATATATGCAACCTATTGTGTATGTAACTATTAGGTCATTTGCATTCTCCATTTTTCTGTTTCTTCATGCCTGAATGCGTATATTTTCTTCTGACCTGTCTTCCAGTTTCCTACTTCTTCAGCTATTTCTAGAATGCTGTTAAAACTATCCATTGATTTCTTAACAGCATTTTATTTTTTGTATATATTAGTTTTTTGACAAAAATTATTTCAATGTACATATTAAGCAGTTCTAAGAAAGTATTCAAAGAGATCAGTATAAACTTTAATTTCCTGGAATGTTTTACAGTGGCAACATATTGCAAAACTAAAGTAACCAGGATACTGCCATTTCCATGACCACAATGATCATTCATGTTGCTCTTTTAGAGCTAAGCCTAGTTCCTCCTCCTCCCTGGCAACCATGAATCTCATCTCAGTTTCTGTAATTTTGTCACTTCAAGAATGTTATACAAAGGGAATCATACAGTATAAACTTTTTGAGACTGGCTTGGTTGTTTTCAGCTTGGATCCTGTGAGTAGAGTGGTTATAAAATTTGTATACGAGTTTTTGTATCAAGATATGTCAACTTCTGTTGACACCTCAGGTGGGCCTGGGGGCAGGCAATCTACGCTGGTTCAGGGACACTCATCTTCCCATGTGTCTTGGCTGACACTGTGGTAGAGGTGCCCTCATCACTACAGGGCAATGGTAAAAGATATGATTCTCTACAAGGTCTTTTTTGATACCACCCTGGTGGGCAGAGAGAAGGGCAACCTGTTAACAGCTGGGTGAAGTGGATGTCCAGCTTCCCATATGGTCTCTATGCCACAGCGGTAGTTGCAATGCAGTACTTGTCACCACCTGATCGGGATCAAAGTCCTAGTTTCCTAGGTGGTCTTCTCTGATGCTACTCCCTAAGGGATAGTCAGGAACTCTCATTCGAGTCTGGTAAGGGCAGAAGTCTAGACTCCCCATTTGGCTTTGGCTGCAGTATTGCAGGTTTGTCTAAAAGTTTTTCTCAGGCTTTCATTTTCCTGGTCCTTTGGCTAGAGAGAGATCTTGTTGGAGATCTTTGTGTGTCTATATCCAACACTGTTTGTCAATCATTGTTTTCTTCAGCTCCAACATTTTGGGTTTTTACTTGTATTTAGCAAGCGACTTAGAAAAAAGTACATCCATTTCATTTTTCCCAGAGTGAGTCTCTCAAGCCCAGTTAATTTAAAACTTTTTTTTTGGTACCTCAATGGGTCTGTTCCTTTGGACTATGGTTTATTATGGCTTTTGGTCATGTTGTCTTGTTTCATCATATGGCTGTTTATTTTGAATTGATTGCCAGATGCTGTATATAGCAAACTGTAGTGATAATTTGAAGCTTAGATGTACACTATTTTTGTCCAGGACAATTTGTTTCAGCAGGAAGCTAGAAGATACAGCAATCTGAAATACTTCAATCACAGCTTGAGATAATTTGAAGTAAGACTTTAGTTCATCTTAGTTCTATTTCTAGTTTACCTTCACTCGTAAAGTGTGAACATCCAGGATTCTAAGTCAAAGTATGAATGGTTTAGCTGGTTTATAGAGTCCTCATTCTAAGTGGGCCATGAACTTTAACTTTTATCTTTTTGTAACTGTTATTCTATTGAAATTTGTGCTCACTCTCTGTCCACTCTATTAACTGGCTGATAGCTGTTTAATCAAAAATTAACATGTCTCTGGAAAAAAGCAGTTTTAAAATCTGGACTCATCTTTTAGCTTCCATCTTCTCCTTGATATCTACTCTGTAGTTCTTCTTTGATAGGTTACTGATGTTATCAAACCAACTAAAAATAAATTTACGTAGACACACATGTGTGCACACATGTATCCATATTCCCAGCACTTTTAATTTTCTCATGTAGTCAGCTGCTACTGTAAGTGGGTTTCTATAATTTTCTTTGATTTTTGCACATTTTATTATGACTAGAATATGAAATATTACTGTGTGGACACATCCTATGCATACAGAACCTAACAGGCTGCTGCCACACAATAAACAATTGCTAGATTAAAAGATGTAACATGTGCAAGTCTTGAAAACTAATTAGAACTAATTCCAATGTGATGATGGGAGAAGAAAAGAATCAAATACATTCTTAAGAGTTCAAAAGCTCAATGATGATCATGTTATTCCCAGAAATTACAAAAGAATAGAAGTAAGAAAAAGAAAGAGAATGGTTAGACATTGACTTTGGTTTTTGAATGTGGTTCAGTCTGATCTATCTGTTGAGGCACTTAGGTGCAGCTGTTCATATAAAAATAAGAGATATAGAGTTGAACTTCTGAAAAGAGGTGGAAACCATATGCAAAATTCAATTTGTTCTGAGGGAAAGTACAAAGAGAAAGAGGGAATATAAAGAGATGAATATAAAACATTTGAGAATGCCTAGATACACTCAGGGAACAGAGTAAGAAGATAAAGCCTTAAAGAAAATAGGTTAAATGTTCAGAGTAGGAAAAAGAAATTTACAAGAATGCAGTTTAGTGGTAGATAATAAGGAAGAAAGCAAAAAACAATTATCTTTATGGTGAAATGTGACTGAAAAGTCAATGAGGCTCTGGAATGAAAGAAATCTTATAAGAAATCCCATCTATCACGTGAGTAGTAAAAGAAGGCAGGAATGTGGCGAGTTGGAGAATGATGAATTTTCAAGTGAAAGGAAAGGTTTAGAAAAGATAAATTGGTCTTTAAGAGAAAAATACATTTGTAACAGAGTAGAGGCATTAGAAGATAGGGCAGTCAATATTTGAGTTGATATAAATTTGTAAACAATTTTGTGATGTTTTTCCAACAAGATTAGCATCCTGGGGTGAGGTAAGAGAAGGAGTTCAAAAGCTCCTTTTTTCCAGAAAGCATGAGAAATTCAATTTTGACATATTGAAGAATGGTAAGTATATGGAAAAGAGAGTGGTAGGTGGGACAGACTGAGGAGTGACAGTTGAAGTCAAAGGTAGTTGTAGACATTTCTATGTAGTAACAAATAGATTTTTTTTCTTGTAGAGAAACAATAGTTAATCCAAAATCTCTTCTATCACTGTTGGTAAGTATGGAGTAGTTTTTGAGAAACTGAAAAACTGCCTTATTTTTAATTTGAAGAATAATCCTATTACAGCCAAGTGGCTATCTGAATCTTAAAATTATAGTTAACAAGAGAAGATTCATGAACCTTACCAGGATTGAAAATGTGTGCTTGAATGAGCAGTTGCTGAACAAATATTATGGAAAAATTATGCTACTCCTAGCCTTTGTACAAGCAGCATGTGATTTGGGGAAAATATAAATAAAATAAAACAAAACATAATAAGGGCTACCAGCTTACCAGTAGAGACCTGAATGGCCATAAAGGTTATTTATGATGGAAAGCTGTCTTAATTAGATTAAGTGTTATGCTGTACTGTTTGTGAACCATTTTAAACATAACTTTTGCTCATATAATATTATATTTACCAAGTTACTTATCTGTAACAATTCAACACTTTTAAACTTGTAAAGTTCATTTTACATATATTACTTTATCATTTCTCAATCATTCAGGACAAAAAAAAATCAGCAGAACCCTCATTTTAATAATGATTCACCTGACACACTTACTGTATTCTTCTTTGTTATTATTGACATTATGTTCAACTTCAGCAATTCTTCTACCAGTAAGAGTCATCCTAAATAAATTTACCTGAGAACTAAAAGGCACTTCACTTACAATACAGCATAGTTATTCTTATTAAAGTAAAATCCTCATACCATTTGGTGATGCCATAACAATCTTTAATAATATCCTGAAGGACGGCACGATAGAACAGTGATTCAGTAGGCAGCTGAAAAAAATGTAGACATATATAAGCACAAGAAACAAATGGAAAACAAAACAAAACCAGAAACCAAATCAATCCCAGAGAATTGGGATCATAAGTAAGTGTGAAAAACTTTGTTGTTAGATGTAAATTTTATAATTTTTCCATTCTATTTTAAAATAGTACCTTGAGGCTGGTAAATGAAAAGTAATTCTATAAAATAGAAGAAACTATAAAAGAAATTGTAGTGAATGAGGAAGAAAGGCATAATGAAAGAAAAATGAGCTAATGTCCCAAATGGAGCACTTATTAGTTAAAAATGTAGAAAAAAATTTTCACAGCCAGCCAGGTCAGTTCTGGAGCCTATGGGAGAGCAGTCAGACAGGATATGCGCAAGAGAAGAGAATATAGATTTGTCATATCATCTAGGACTTACACCATAACATTGGCTACTGTAGAGGTTAAAAGAAAGACCTTGGAAAGGATATAGCATTCCAAGTTGAAGTTTTGGTAAGGCTTCATTCCTTTGATAAAAGAGGTGGGAGGAGTCCATAAAGGCTCAAAGGTTTTCCAAATGAAAGAGAAATGTCTGAAGAGAAAGACCCCAATAAAGCATGATAGTTTCGCAGGAGCAAGAGGTAGAAAAGTACTATATATCTAAAAGAAAAAGCACATTGCTGCAGCAATTGAAAAGATACTCTTAAAAATAAGAAACTACAAAACTGCATCCACATCTCCACAGATCTACTACTGTTAGTATAGGAAAATCTAACATATTAATATCAGCAACAATAACCTTGTGTCTATGCAAAGTTATTATGGGGGGGGAATAAAAACGAGCAAGAATGGAGGGAGGTGAACAATACTGAATAAACTGGGAGCTAATAAGGTAAAAACTAAAAATGGGAAGTTTTAGAGTTGGTAAAACACATACAGCCATTCAGTTATTATTCAGTTATTCTTTTGTAACTTTAATACTCCTTCAAAAGTCAAAACAGCTATTTTTATCCAGTTGCAATTAGAATAAATGTATTTGAATTCAGATTAAGTTTAAAATAAAATTTTGCCAGTGCGCTTACATGGAAAACCTACTCTACTGCCCCTCTCCCTCATATTACATCATACACGCAGTACCCAAGGTGCTGAGACAGAAAGAACTACAAGTTGGAAACGGAACATGGGCCATTCACATTTAAGGTTTTACCAGGGGGCATTGTTATCTTTAGCTCAGGGGAGAAAGCCTGACTTGCAGGATCTTCTTGCCAGGGGACTTTCAAAGATAAGTTATATCCTCTCCTGATTGTGGAAAGGGTGATTCCAGTGGGAAATGACATTAGGAATACCACAGTCACCAACTCAATTCCTAAAATAACTCACTGAATGCTGACATGTACATATATTTGAGTGCTCACACTAAAACGTATAAACTTCACAAGGCACACTTCTAATAAAAAATGTCTTTCCAATTATAACGCTTTGATTTCTAAATTTTCCTGAAGATTATTCCAAAACATTTGATTCAGAATTTTCTATCTCTAGACATATTTTCCATCTCACATTTTTTCTTCTTGAGGAATTCTTTTCTGTGGAACTAAAATTTCTATTTTATCATCTATTCCATACTGCCTCCCAATATTTTCATTTATCCCACAAAAATGCTGCAATTCCCTTCATATTACCCTTACTTTTCCATTGTTCGACTGAAATTCAAGGCATATTGGGAAATCTTTTATTGCACAAAGTGAAAAAAATAGTATTAGTATTAAAAATGGCTTACAAAGTTGTTAATATTTTAATCAGTTGTAACAGATGAGAACTTTAATTTTACATGTATTTCACAAGAAACTCCTAAAATAGTAAAGCACTCCTTTCCCATGCCTTTGAGAAAAATTACCTAAAACATAGAAACAAATGTATATTTATAGTGTTATTAAAAACTGATCGTAGCAAGACCATAAAAAAGACCAAAAAATGCATTTTAAGCAAGCAAACACACAGAAATGGAATGCATAGAAATATAAACAGTATAGAATAAATCAACTTTCGAAGTTACCCTGAGTATATAAAAGCTTTACAGCTGTTTCTTAAGAGAAAGGGAAGAGAGTTATGAAGTGCCCTCAAATGTGCATTCCTGGAATAGCTAGGACTATCCATCCTGGTAAATACAGATGGGGGTAAAGTGGGAAGGGAGTCAACATTTCTCCAGCAGCCTGTGCCTGACTATTCCAGGAATAAACTGGATGTGGCTCAGAGTTTACTTTCTCTCCTTCACAAGTGATAAATCAACTTAACACTTTAATGCATTTTAAAAAGGGAGGGAGCAGAAAGAGAACACCCTTAAAGAATATATATTAGACATGCATTTTACAAGTCTAGTGGAAAGGGCATTAAGCTGGAAGTCAGGACTCTGCAATTAATTAAGGGAGCTAGAATGCACTATTAACTTCGGCTGGGTGTTATGGTCTCAAGTTTGGGATAACACCCAACTCATAAGATTAACTGCAAACATGAGCAAGCACTTGGGGAAAATTGAAAAATACCACACAAATGCATTGGGACATTATGATGTTAAAGGTGCTTTCCTCTCTGGAACCTTAGGGAATCATCTAAAGTGATGTGTAGTGTAGTAGTTGAGAGTTTGGGCTCTAGAGTCAGAGATTAAAATCTTAGTGTTTACTAATTAACATTTTTCTGTGTGAATCATAAGATAATAATAGTTCCTACCTACATTACTATATATGTAGTATCGTAATCGATGAAGAAAACTTTGAGTGGCTTTGGCAAACTTCATGTAGATATAGGTATGACTTTCATGACCATAATTATTCTTATAACAGTAACAATTGACATTTATTGAGGCCTTCCTAAGTGTCAGACATTGCTTTAGCATTTTACACTTTTTATTCATTTAATCCTCACAACTCTATAAGGAAAGTACTATTGTTACCCTATGTATAAAGAAATTAAGTGAAAGAACGAAAAATTTCTACAGGTAGTCAAAGGTTAAATCAGTAACTGATGAAGGCAGAATGCAAACCAGCAGTTTGAGACACAAGTTCACGAAACTTAACAAAATGTTCTAATGTCTTAAAAATCAGTTTTTATCAATTTTAGATAGTTATAGTGAATATATACTTCAAAAAATCACAGATCTTAGCATCCATTTTACCTGACTCATACTAAACATCCACACTTACAAGTGCTTTTATTTTTTTTAATTATTACTTAAAATTAAAATTGATATATGAATGTTCCTTTGAGAGAAGCAAATGAGAGATTTCTAAAATTCAGATGCAACAAAATATCTTGTGAAAATCTTAAAAAGTACTATTTAAAAAATCTTTAAAAATTCCTAGTGTATTTCATGAATCATAAAGTGAGAAGGCAACTGGAGAAGACTATCTGAGGGATATATTTAACTTCAGTGTATATGTGCAAATTGACTTGGTTATTCCAACTAACGAATAATCAAATCAATAAAGAAAAAGGTTAAAAAGCAACCAACTTGATTATGTGTTTTAAACTACAGATAAAAAAGAAATTAAATGCTATACCATGTTTATCTTTGCTTCAATTAAGCCCATAAAAGCATAATAGTCAGCAAGAGCATTCTATAGAAGTATTTACAGACTATTTAGCATAAAACTTAGAAATGAGAAACGTTAGCACAAGAGTATAACGCAGATATTTTCCTAAAAGTTTAATGTACTTTTTTGAAAGTTCATTCTCTTTTTAATTAACAGAAAATGAGTAAATTTGAGAAGAGATGACAAGAAGAGGTGATATTTATCAAAACCCACCAGGTTTTGAGTTCATCAGCAGGTCAAGTAGGAAGAATACTGGAGAGAGAAAATACACTGTTCATCAATTGGGTCAGAGAAAATACTCTTACTTACCCCTTGGCCAACTGCAACCCGTTCCAATGCCTTTAAGGAGAAAACACAAGACAAAAGCTGTTGATGTATTTGGTCTTATCATGCAAGACTTATAAACACATTGTATAAGGGCTTGTAAAAGTGACAGTTAAAAAGATTAATTAAGTGATACTTGTAAGTTTATACACTTAAAAGTGTTACTATCATTAAGGAACGTTAGTCTATGTATATAATTTAGGGCTAGTTTTGTAATGGATATGTGTCATATACACAAACACGCACACCTTAATTTTAGAAGGAAAACATACACTCCTTGAATTTCACAAGAATTAGAAAACAGGAGAGAAGTGAAATGACATATTCTTGGCTCACTTTTTGTGTAGCTAAATCAATAATATTGTGCAATAATTAGACATATTTATTAGCTACTTTTAAACATGTTCTTCCAATTTTTATTAAACATTTTATTAAAACAAAATGAATGGAATATAGATGAAATCCTAGTTCAAAAATCTGCATTTTTTTTCTGCATGACATATGAGTTCAAATTAAATTTACATATGATCAAGTGCCAGGTAGTAGAGAAAATACATGTTTTCACTAGTTTATATATAGTTGTGCATTTTATTTATTTATATTACTTATGTACAATTTTATTTATCTAAGCTCCAGATATTTCTATAAACTATTTCCCTATAATTCTAACAGGTATTCATAGTCCAACATACATGAAAGATTAGTCATAATTTAAGTATGGAATAAAGTCTTCTAAAACTTCCATTAGAGACCTAAATTTCCACAACTTTATCATTTTTTAACTAAATATGATTAAATAAAATTAATATTAACTTAAATTTTATTTTTAATTTTTAATTAGAAAATATTTAAAACAAGGGAAAGTAATGACAGCTATATAATGAATCCTCATATTCAAATTTAAAACTCATATTTGTTTCATAACTGTCTTCATAAATAATATTTTTTAGAGAGAGCTGGATTATATGCTTTTAACACTGAAACGATTTACAGATAATCCTGTGTAAATGCAGATTTTGCAGATATAAAGGATAAAGTGGCTTCCCTCAGATTGCATAGCAAGTCAGCAGTAACTAAAGTCAGCAAGTCAGCAGCAATTGAGCAGTAACTAAAAACTTGTTCTTTAAACCCTGATTTTTTTATTCCTTTGCACCATGGAAATTTAGGGTGAAAAGAATTTATTGGATGAAAATTTGGTTGGCAGATATTGAAGGAAAAAAAGTAATTTTTGAAGGATACCTTCACTGAACATGTAGAATCTGAGGGTCATAAAAACAGGAAATAGTTATGAGATTTTCATATTAAATGAAACAGATATGTCTGGAACAGGCTTATCATTGAAGAAAACAATTTATCATTCATTTATAGTACTGGCCGTGCTAATTTGAGTTTAGATTTTTATTATGGCTTTTGCTAAATGGCTAAATGGAACAAAGAAGCAAAATAGTTTTTAATAATAAATTAGTTGGTGTCAATGAAATAGCATATAACATAAGACTACTTTTGACATGTGTTGCTGATGAGTTTATTTTAGAAATACAAATGATAAATTTTGATTACACAGTAAAAGATAATCAAGTAAGTGATAAGAATTTTCTTATAAACTTTTTTGTAGGTCAATAAAGATAATGAAGAAGACGTAAAGTATATACTTTACGTAAAGTATATACTTTTCATAGTAAAGTATACATTTTTATCAATCTTAAAGAATGCTGATAAGATTGCACTAATCTAATTGAAATTTTATTTCTCATTAGCATCCTTAACGATTAATCTGAAAGTGTCACCAGAAAGGTGTCTTTTGTTTTTCTAACCCCTTAAACTTTGAATATTTGTGACAAAGGTCAGTGATTGAACAAAAGGCAATAAAAGAAGAATCACTTTAAGAGTTGTTAAAAGCTAAGATGGTCAGGAACTGGCGCATGTAAGAAGATGGACATTCCTTAGGAGGCTGATATTAGGCAGGGAAAGTTCCAGCACAGCCTACAAATTCTATGTTTTGGAGTTTGTTTCCAACAACTCTGCTTTTTTGGCTTGTTAAGTGTTTATTTTTATAGTGATTAATTATTATTTTGTAGATACAGTATATTCTTTTGTTTTTCTTGGGGATATTAATAGTTATTTTGTTTTATTTTGGATAGACTCCATTTCCTCCAAGTTCCTTTTTATGTATTTGTTTATTTGACCTCTATTTTTTTCATAGCAGACTTTCCTGAGACATGTAGTGACTCTGAGCTGTCTTTGGTAATTAAAATAGGGGCATCATAAGCCTGATGAAGCATTTTTCATATGAGTGAGGACCACTAAATGCAGGTCTCTCCATAAAGGTGATATCTGTTTTGTTTTGTTGTGAAACCCCTGATGCTAATATCTTTAGGTCTCTCCTTTTAGGCTAGTCAGATTCCCTAGAAAAAACTATCTCAGTTTCTTGCCTGGAGATATAAAACATGTTGCCAGCATTCTGGAAATCAAGTCATTCCAAGAATGACCTGCCATTCTAATGAGACCCTAAGAAAGTATCATTTACAGATATAATGAAAGAACAACACAAATTTCCTGAAAGGTATTTTAAGAGTAACTACAAAAATTTGAGCATAGATTTATAAAATAATTCTCATAAACATACCTAGACCAGTGGTATGCTACTTTTTATATTGCTATGATAATGGCACAAAAATAATGACCCTAAAATAATCAATTTATCTTGGGATTGAACACTGAAAGCAATATTCTGTGTCTGATTTTCAATTCAGGTTATCAGTTGCTTCTCTTTAGCTGACCATCACTGAATTTCCCCTTTCACAGTCCTTATTTTTAATTTTGTTTCCAGGTCAATCACTTTACATGATCTCTTACTGGCAGCCTGCACAGTGGATTTTGTATGCTTGTGGCCATGACGATCAAAACAACGCAAATTTAAATCTAGCACAAGGAGAAATGATGTAGTAAACAGAGAGATGCAGTAAACAGAAGATATAGAAAGCAGCAGCTGCTAAGACTTCAAGATGGCTATGATATTACTAGACAATAGGAATTTAAAGACCTCCATGGTATTTGTGGTTTGTGGCTGACCTCTAAGCATTGCAATGCAGTGCATGACAGTATTTAATCAACTACATTTTAAGTTTCTGATGACAAAAACAATTTACTCTGTTTAACTTGCATCTGCTCCTTTGTAAACTAGTAGCACACCACGAACAGATAAAACCATGTACTAAAGTGTTCTAGGTCTAAAGACACTAGACAAATCAGGCACAATAAAGGTTTTATTTAACTAAACAGTTATTTCTAGTAAGCTAAATAATATATTTCCCATTTTGTAAGAAAAATAGGAGACTACCTACTATAAACAAATTACCTATTATAACACAGTGCTGTGGATAAAGCACTAAAATAATTTCTGAGCTGAAGACTTGGTAGTTGGTACATTTTAAGTAATAATCACATACAAAAAATTAAGTAGGTATAATATAATTCTGCATTAGAGTATAACTATAAATTGTTACAACACTGTAAGGAGAGTGGATAATACTGGAAGGACACAAGTCATTTTGTTCTCATTTTTCCAAGGCACAAAAGCATTAATGATGACACTGCAAAATCTGGAATTTATACATGGTATCAGTCAAAAATCATAGATTTTAAAATATTTAGACAAAGTTCTTAGTCCAGAAAAATATACAATCATACCAAACATGCTGACATTCTGGCATTACGACCACAGCACCATCTCTCTTCCTTTAAATAGTGGCACATTGGAAATCCCCACTTTTCTTGAGTACATTCTGCAGATGGGGGAAAAATATGGATCACTGAAATGAAATTCTTTCTCTTTCAGTTAAAGTAAATAATACATTGGAAAGCAAATTAGTCAGTGAAAGAGTCAAACGGTAGTTAAACATGGAAGTGGTAATGTTTAACAGTTCATTCCAGTCCATTAATTGAAAGCATATTATTGTTATGAAAGTGGTATTTTCTCAACAACAGCTGTTTTGTGTTTAAGCTCCAGGTCTGATGCTAACCAAATGTCAGAATCATTTCTCTAATATTTAGCAAAAGAAATTTAAATTGGAAATGCATTTCATGTTCAGTGTAAATATAGCAGATAATTATTGAGATACGGGACGTTTATTGCTAACCTAACTTTAGCAAAAATGATATATTAAATATGACATTGGGGAATTTATTTTAGAACAATATTAATTCATTCTCAACAATGCTGAAACATCAATTTTTTTTTTCCAGCCTCTATGCTCACTTCTCAGAAAAAGAACAGCTGGACAGACCCTTCTTTCTATATTAAGAGACTATAATATTTTAAACAGTGATTCAATTTGGCTCAATTGCATTTTAGGTTCAAGTAACAACAACAAAAATCAACATTCACTGCTTAGTCACAGGTATCTGCTGCCCAACTAACTTGCATTTACATATGCAACTTGCTGAAGTTCAAATCTCCTCTATAGAACTATTAACCACACAGGGTTTTGAAAAGGAAAATAACCCAATTTCTAAAACCTGGAAAATAAGAATGTAAATTTTATGAAAACTGGACAGTTAAAAGAAATTAAAAGACAATTTCACAAGACTCATGGAGCCCTTGGAGGTTATCCAGGTCCTAGAGACCCTGGACTACTTTCTATGTCTGAAATGACTTGAAACAGTAGTTGAGTTTTAATGAAGACTTTACAATATAACTGAGGCATGATTGCTATTGCTAAAAGAAAGGACTACCATAAGTAGTTTTTTTTCTTTTACAACTAAAAAGAGAAATACTTAGATCTTACTGCAAAACATAAGGAGTTATGCAGTTGTGAGGTTTTAGTCAGAGTGGTTAGGAAAGATACTAGCCAATAAAACAGCTAGTTCGTCCCCCTCCTGCACCGCACCCATTATTTTCTTGTTCCTTGTAGTAACAGAGCGCTCAATTTCTAGCTGGGTATGCAGCAGTTCAGATTAAAGACTGCACTTCCCAGACTCCCATGCAGCCAGTAGGAGAGTTACAAGATTGAGCTTTGGCCAATGGAAGATGTGGGCAGAAATGATACCTACAAATCCTAGGCCATATGCTCAAAGGGTGGGGAGCATGTTCTTTTCTCCACACTTTCTACACTTCCTTCATCCCTCCTTTATCAGGAATATACTGTGGCTGTGAGTATACCGTGGTCATATAAACAACAGCAGCAGTGGGTACAGTAACAAAAGAGAAAGATTCTGGGTCCTTGGGAGATTTTCTGATATGGAGCTTCTACCTCTGGATTAAAGTAGAAATAACCCTGTGTCTTCTTTTAGACATTGTTACTTTCAGTCTGAACCTAATTTACATCTTTATCTTAACTTAATGCTTCCCAAACTTTTTATAGCACAACACTCTTGCAAAATTTGTACATCACACTGGAAAAAAAACAGATGATGATGATTGTGCTGAGGCAAAGCCTAGCAGTTAAAGGAAGCAATATCTCAGTACACCCATAAAACATGCGTGACACACTAGTTGAATAGTTCTGTCTTAATAATAAAGAAGTCTTTCCTGAGGATGAGATACTTGAGCAGAAACCTAAGTGAAATGAGAAACCAAATCATGCAATTAGAGGAAGATAAAAATAACAAACTGTGCTTCCAACATGATATAATTAATCTTTAAAACCATACCAGAATATCTTACAATTTAAAGTGAGAGTTGACTAACAATCCCCCAACTTCTAATATCCCAGCCAAATACCTACTGGAAAAGAGGAAACTGAAATTAACTTATTGCCAAATATGAAAAGAATTCCACTTAAGAAACAACCAATTAATTTGTAATGAAAGGTATAATTAAGTACACCATCACAGGTCTGCAATCTATCTTACACAACTGTTAAAAAAAGCACACCTACTTTCCTGAAAATAGATAGAAAGATCCTCCTTCAGTAATAACCTAAAGAAAACTCTGAGAACAATTACTACTTAATATTAGATAGAAAGAGGAACAGGATTTCTGAAAAATATATTGCATTGGAAAGGGTATATTATTTCCAGGACAAAAAATCTAATATAATAAACCCATATCTAAGTTATTCCCAAATTCCTGATTCACAGAACTTGAAAGATAAAAAATACGTGGCTCTAATTCATTCTGTGGGTGATTTTTCAAAGATTAAATGCTAAATACAGTCTACAAATAGCAATGATGAGGCCAATTACCTCATGCAAGGAATATGTGACAGAAAACTCCCCTGCTTGAGGTGTATGGCAGGTGATCTTCCCCAGAAAGGTGCTAGGATTTGATAAGAGAGGAATATAATAGACTATAGATATTGGCAACTTTTTAAAAGACTACAGATATTGGCAACTTTAGTAATAACTGTGAACCCAGAGGATTTTGGAATATAGAAGAGGTAGAAAACTAGTCAGAACAACAGACATATAACAATAAATTTGATAAGAGGCAGGACACCTACAATGTAAAAAAAAATGCATTATTTCATTCTATGTTTGCAATCCATTTCTTCAGCTTCATTCTGATGGCAGTGAAGAATAAGGCTCCCTTTTATGTTCTGAATCCATGTCACAGAGTTCACCATCTTTATTGCTAAGAATCAGTCTCCTAATTAACCACATTCATATATTTATATTCAACTCTAGTCAAACTGGAATTACCCACCCTTATCAGTAAATCAAATCACTTTCTGCTAGGATGACTTTCATGCTATCTTTAATTGATAACTTTGTAAAAAATGAAGTTTCTTGTTTTTTCAGTCTTCTATTTTTTATTCTTCCTTGTTGACAGTAGAAATACATTAATTGTTCTGTCTTGGAAACATTCAACATGCCAAAAAGAAAAAAAAAAGTCTGCCAAGGGGAAGAAGGTGGCACAGGGCCCTGCCATTAAAAGATGCAGGAAGCTATGAAGGTGATAAATCACATTTGAGAAAAGGCCCAAGAGTTTTGGCCACTGGACAAGACATCCAACCCAAAGGGACCTTACCTGCTTTGTCTAATGGCCCTACTACATCTGGCTGCAGCAGCAGAGGGCTATCTTTTACAAGTGACTGAATGTGCCTCCCGCCATTATGCAGAAACTCAAGCCTAAGACTGCCAAACAACTAGTCTACTGAGTTGCTTAAGGTGGCCCACAAGCACAGACCAAAGACAAAGTAAGGGAAGAATCAGAGATTGTTGGCTTCGGCTGAAAGGAAAGGTACTGGCAAAAAGCACCTGTCCTTTGAGGAGGCATTGATGCTGTCACCGCGCTGGGGGAGTATAAGAAGGCTTGGTTATAGAAATTGTACACGGTGTGGATCCCATCAAGTTGGTTATGTTCCTGACTGCCATGGTTTGCTACTGCATTATTAAGGGGAAAGCCAGGCTGGGGCATCTCATCCACACAAAGACCTGTACCACTGTCCCCTTCATGCAAATTAACTCAAAAGAAGGGGGCCCTGGGTAGGCTGGTGGAATCTGCCAGGACTAATTACAATGACAGAAATGATGAGATATGCCATCACTGGAGAGGCGATATCCTAGACCCAAACTCTGTGGCTTGCATTGCCAAGCTGAAAAGGGGAAAGTGAAAGAACTCATCACCAAACTGGGTTAAATGAACAGTGTTGTCTTCTGCACATGAGGAAAAAAAAATTAATCTCTGAAAAGCAGAGATTTCACAGGTTCTTCATTCTTGTGTTAATAATAATGTACATTTAGGTAAACAAATTTGAAATTTGGAACCACTTCCATTATCCACATTAATCCCCAAATATTTACATATAATCCTTTTAATTATACCTCCTTTTCATTTGAATCTTCATTAGTTCTTAACTGGATACATGTAATACCTAATAACTAATTCTGCTTTTCCTTTTGTTTTGGTCTTTTTTATCCATCCTTTTTTATTTAGATTAAGGTTATCTTTCTAAAATATACACATGTAGCCATATTACCTCAACAACTCTTGTTTTTCTTACTAGTGGCATCTATGAGACCAAAAACAAAGGATATTTTTCTTACTATAGATTTTAAAGAGTTTTTGATACTCCCTCCTTAAAACAGAAAAAGGAAGCCCTTTTGAAACAAATGATAATTAGTTGACATGTTTATAGACAAATAGTCAAATCTAAAAAAATACTTTTAATAGCAAAATGTCGAAATTTATATGCAGTATTCAGATGGCAGTTACACAAAATGTAAAGTTTGATTTAACTTTGCTTTTCCTCCCTCCCTTTTTCTTCAGTAGCATTGCTGTGATGTTAGTCTTTTTTTTTTTTTTTTTAAGATTTATTTATTTATTTATACAAGCACTGGGTACAGTCAGACACATGGGAGGGTGAGAGAATCCACCAGAGCCAGAGGGGAGAGCAGAGAAGGCAGACTGACGAAGACACTGCTGAGGGGAGCGGCGGGCAGCCGGAGAGGTCTGTGCACCATGTGGGGCCCTCGCCCGGCAGCCGGGGATCTAACAGGCGCTGCAGAGGCTGCGGGCAGTTTACCAACCCAGCGCTCAACAGCTGCGCCACCGGGGAGGCCCTGATGTTAGTCTTTTTACTAGCATTGCTGGGTAGAAATTTTTACGTGCTTTGTTGGGTTTTAAATTAATATAGATTTTTAGTTTCAGTTTAGTTAAAAGTTTTGTTTTATTTTTTAATGTAGTTTTTAGATCATAGCACCATCATAACTGGCTACCCTATTTTCCAGCTTTGTGTCATCTAGGGAAAATTACTTTCTCTTATACCTTAATGTCCTCATCTGCAGAGATTAAAACTACAATACTTGTCAACATGAAATAAAATAATTTAAAAGAATGCCT